TACCTCTCACAACCTCCCCCTCCTTTCGCTCAAATACCTGGCTCCATGCGCCATCTTTGCTTCTTCCTGAGGGGCTGCAGAGCTCCAGTAATTTGTGATATACGCTTTCCCACTCCCTACCCTTCTTCACCCACACTCAGCCCCCTCTGCTTCCTGCGGACAGTCTCTTGTCCGAGAAACACCAGCCCGCACTAGCTGGCTGAGTGCCATTTGTTGGCTGCTAGTGTTGCTTTTTTTTTTCTGCTTCTTTTGACTTCTTCCTTACCTCTCACCACCTCCCCCTCCTTTCATTCAAATACCTGGCTCCGTGCACCATCTTTGCTTCTTCCTGAGGGGCTGTGGAGCTGTGTTCGAGTGTGGAGCTGCTCCCCAGTCTGGGCTACCGTGCTGGTGGGATCCTGGGGCTTTTGTTCATTTGTTTGTTTTGAATTGTTTGTTTTCTTTTCCTTTTCTTGAGTTGGGAGCCCTTTCTGCCCAGGTGGTTCTGCATGGCAAGGACACTACCCCCTCGGCTTCCACAGACATGCAGAGGGATCCCGGCGGGCATTTCTTTTCTCGTTGGTTTTTTTTTTTTCCCCTCTCTTTTGGGGGGCCTTTCTTATTCTTTTTTTTTTTTTTTAATTTGATTTGTTTTCCTTTCCCTCTTTTTCCCTTTTTGTTTTTCTTCATTGCTCAGTTTCTCGTCTCTCTATATCTTCCTTCTCTTTCTGTTCCCTGAATACCTGGCATTGTATACCTCTACGCCTTCTAGCCAGGCTGTACTGCAACACTGGAGAGCGACTTCCCCAGACCTCATAGCTGCACCAGTGGGATCCCTGGGAACTTTGAGGTTCTTTAACCTTTCTGATTTTTATTTATTCATTCTTTTCTTCCTCTTCCCCTTTCTGTTTCTCTCCATTTCATAGGCTCTCATCTCTCCGCTCCAACGGCAAGCTCCCCTAGCATTCTTTTTTGTTTGTTTGTATGTTTTTGGCTCCTGTTCCTCTCTCCTGTCTCCCATATCCATCTTAACTCCACACATAACAATCTCCCTGCTGCATCCTGCCTACCTGCACCGTGCGCTTGACATCACACCACCAAGCAGCACAGGCATGGCCTACTGGAACCTGCCGTGCACTGATTACCGACCCACTCTGGGGGCTGTAGTAAGTGCCACAGACAACCCATCCCAGTAACTCCTCTTCAGCTAGACCTGCCCTGCCATACCACATCTGAGCAACTGACCCTGCCAATTTGAGAAGGAGGCGAAAAGTATTGTGGCCACAGATGAGCAAACAACAAAGAACACACCGTCCGCCTGCACAGACAAAGTCAAATTTAAAAAAAAAAAAAAGGGAGGGGGATGAAACAAACAAATCTACGTCAATACAACAAGAAAAATAACTACTGAATGCCCGGAAGACAGCAGACAATATCAAAACATTTACAAAAACAG